GTGTTTTATTTTAGCTTTATAGTCTAAAAATCTGGAATTCCAGTAGAGCATCTTTCTCATTTTCATTGTGTTGATAATCAGATACATTTTGTTAAATATTGTTTATGATTACATGGTATCTCTGTTGTTAACGCCATTATCAATGAAATTAATATATAAGGCAAAACTATATACAAAAAAAAAATAATAAATAAAACCCCTAAATAACACCCCCCCGTTTGAATGTTGATGAAAGTAATATTTGACGTTGTCAACAGGAGCTCATCAATTTTCATTTTCCCCCAATTGGTGCTGATCCAGGAATCTTAATAATGGGGAGGGGGATATTTGGGCCCGGGTTTAGGGGGTGGAGCGAATCCTCGAAAGCTCTCGGACCTAAGTAATTTTTGAGAATCAGCTGTTTTTCTTACGTTTACTTCTCTTGCCAAAAGAATTGATAAAAAAATGTCTTTAAATTTTTGGTTACTGGGGTGGGGATTCCTTTCCTAAATCCGACAGTGCTGTCGTTTACTGATTTTTATTTGAAAATTAAAATAGTCGTGTACTTTTTTAATTTTCAAATAAAAATCGTAAACGACAGTGCTCAAAATCCCGGTACCTCCTGTTTATGAGGGTTTGAAGTACTGTGTAATCACATATTAACGCACTTACCTAAAGTGGACTATATTCTCCAATGAAACGTTTCGTCAGGTATCGCACTGTCAAAGCTGAAAAAAGTTGAAACTTATGTTATAAAACTAATTCTCTCTCCTCTCTGCACATTTAAATTAATCATATGGAAATAAAATAAACTATTGTTACAAAAAGATTTAAAACTTTTTTTAAATAAAGTTTAACTCACCTGTTTTTCCGACCCCCGGGCATCCCAGGACAACGATTTTACACATGCTGTTGTCACTGATTGATTGACCTCGACCCCTGGCCCCGTTTGACCCCGCTCCTCTGTAGTTCATCACAACAACATTCACGCCGTGCACTGTCATTTAGATCCGCCTCTTTATTTCCCAAATTTCACAACTTTTAAGCCAAAGAGATCGCAAGTTCTTTTTATCTTTGTAAAGAATAATTTATATAGCATAAAGTTTGGGCGACACTTTTAATCCATCGATATTTGATGAAACTCCTTATGAATATGTCAAAACTGAATTATTTCGTAGAATATCCATAGGAAAAAAATCAAAACGTCTCGTTGAATATTTCTTGCCGACTTTTCTGAGTTTGCGGTTTGCCCTCACACAATATGTAGTATTTTAAAAGCAGTTGCCGTGTGCCTTTTGTATACCATGGAGATCCAAACTATATGCCTCATACGTCACTGAGAAACAAACCGTTTTTCTCAACTGTCAAAAGCAGTTTTGTCTTCTGAGACTTCTCTGAATTTCCTCCTCGGCTCTTCAAATTTAATAAAATTCTGAAATTTAAAAAGGGTATATATGCATATTTTAATTTACTTCTGACGAAATCATGTACGCAGATCCACACCTTTTGTTTCGTTAAAAAAAATTAATAATTGTGTAATTCGCTGTGGGATTTCAAATTATTAAACATAAATATTTTTGAAAAACAGCTCAATAAACAAAAAAATTATAAACTTCCATAATCCTTCGTAAATGATTAATGCATAAAGAAACGCTTTTTTTTTTTCTTTATCTCGAGGTATCAAAAAAAAAAAATAAACAATATTCACCATGCAGTACCTTCTGACCCTAAGGATCCGTGAAACAGACTGATTATATAGAGTGGAAATTACCAAACTTCTGTTACCATTTCAAATTAACCCTGGCCCGTGTGCACCCTAGCCGTTAACTACCGGTTTCTGAGGAGAGATCAAATGTTTATAAGATAATTCTCAGCCTTTAACAAAACCCCCGCTGGTTTCTGCCTCCTACATCATTCTCACCAAAACCGACAAATTCTAAAGACGTTCTTTATTTCGCCATTAAACAGTTAAAGAATGTTTACATTTTGAAATTAGTTTTGTAAATCTAAATTCGCATATCCAATTTAACTTTAAAAGAGAAGTAATTTATCGCTAGGAATCTATACAATATATTTAGTGTCTAACTTATGTATGTGTTTATAAAGGAAAAGTGATTGATGAACAGTTCTGATCTACAAACAAAGAATTGGATATCTACAGAACTTAAAAAACAGGAAATTTCGTAACACGGGCACTTAACTCAGTAACTGCAATCGCTGATTAAAAATTTATCCTTAAATCAACACTTATTAAAAGGTAATGAGTAATGAGTCCCTAAAAATGCCATTTTAACACAAGACTGGGGTCTACACATAAAAATATATATATGTAAGAATTGTAAATTTCCAATTTTTCAAAAAATTAAAATTCTACTCACGGGGCATGATAGGCCGCGCTCTATACATCGTCATGTAAGTTTCCCTCATTCATAAATCTCTTTATCCCTCTCCGCTAACTGATAAGAGCATTTTTTTTTTTAATGTTTTCCCTCAACGGAATTTGAAGTGAAATCTTTTTAAAACCAGGTTCTAAAATATTTTATCTTTAGAACCTCTGTAACGATTGCCCCTCAGCGCGGGGTTAATTCCTTTGGCTCGTTTTATCATTTTTCGGTCGCTATTTTAGAGTTTTACTTACTTTAAAGATAATTGTTTATTGAATGGCCCCGGATTTCCGATAAGTCTGTGGTGTAAATGATCAATCCGTCAACTGAGTTACCAGAGACCTTTAATGACCGGCTTTCTTTGAAGTGTGTATCTATATGTTAAATCAATCAGCAGGGATTCTTTGCCCGAGGTTATCTTTAACACTCCCCATTCCTTTTCTTAGTTTTCTTAGTTACATGTACAAAACCCCCTTTTTTCGTAATCAAATATTATAAATTAACCTTTAATGAATGGATTCTCCCCCTTTTTTTGCTTACTTTTTTCATGTAAGTTGAAAGCTGAAGAGCTACGTACCTGCGTTCAAATATAAATTAACCCCTGGGCTTTCTGTTACCTTTTATTTCGTTTTTGGATTCTGGAGACATTTTAGGGGTTTATTCTAGGCCTATTTTGAAACCGGAGGAACCCAGGGTCGTGAGTCCGGCGCCCTGAATTTAAGAGGGTACAAACATATTTCTTGACAGGGTGTTGTGGTGCATTTTATATATTTGGTTGATATTGTACAGATTCAACTTTAACTGTTACTTCAGAAAATTCTCTGCGAATCACACACATGACATTAACCAGACTGATCGTTATAGATACATATTCATTTGCACTTTGAAAAACTTGATGCTCTCGGGGGATTTCAAGTACACGTACTAGTACGAAGTATCCGACGTTTTCCTGACGTGCCATGAAAATATCAAAATCGTTAAAAAAGCCTGGAAAACATCAGATATATATATTTCGGACTAGTACAAGTACATGCATTTAAAGAGATTTTCTTTTCCTTGTTCGTCGTTCATTGAAAAGATACAGGATGAGGAAAGCACAGAATTAGAATTTTACTTTTGGAGTCTTTGACTCTTTGACGTAGTCGGGGGTGGGGTGGGGGTTGTTGTCGACACTTTTTTGACTGGCATTAATATTACCTGACTCGCAATATAACCCAGCCTGATTTACCGCTTCCAAGATTATGACATTATGAACGTGCTAAGACTCAGGAGTTTGATTAATATTAATCTATAATTATCTGTTGAAATAAGTACTATTACTGATATTAATATTTCAATAAACGGAGAGTGCTTTTGACTAACTTCTTTAATTATCTATGCAACCGTGAAATGTAGAAGATCAAATGTAACAGACGGCTGTTTGCCTTCCTAACCTCGACTCATCAAGTGAACGATACAAGTGCACACGTACAATTCACAAGGATTATCTCCCTGGGTCTCTAAGCCCTCATTATATTTATATATCATCATTAGTGAGTTCCATTTCGTGTGAATGACCTCAACATTCACCTGTGCACTCTTTGTGTATCATCCATCCGCAGAACAAAGAAGTTCGAATGAGTTCTTCGTTTGAAGAAGGTGATAAATCGTAATATTCCTAACTACGTGTAAACACATCTGGTACATGTGGCAAAATTAATTAAACTTAGCAAGAAGCGGATCTTACAATTTAAAATTGATACATCCCAAAGAATAAAAAAAAAAATAGGAAAATAGATTTAATAAAACAAGAGTATATTTCAACAATTATAAACAAATAAATATCTAAGAATATATAAGAATTAATGAATGGTTCTTAATTTGTCAGCAGTTGGTGCACTTTTTTCCATGTTTCAGGAAAGTCCTCGGGAAGGGAATAGGAAATATGGATGAGTCGCCATTTCCGCTTCCGGTTGGAATGTCGGATCCCGACCAGTGGCGTTTCTGTGGCATTTTATATCGCCTCCTAGGGACGTCCAACAGGTGCGACGAATACATCTGGTTCACTTCCGTTATTTCCTCCGACACACGTTTCACTTTTGTAGGCAAGAAACAGGGATCTTCATAAGCCCACGGAAGTTTATATGCCTGTAGTTTTGTTGAGAATTCCCTTTTAATGTCTTTGGTTAGTTTTCTGTCGGCCCTGTCGTTTACGGAGGTGGACAGTTTCGCTCTTTTTATTGGAGTTGCGTCATCTTCGCTGTCCATGAGAGGGAATCCAGTGTCAGAAATCACACGCTTCGCTCTCCGTCTAATCTCCATATATTTCTCTTTGATTTCATTGTCCTGCAATTAAAAATGTTCATAAAAAAATATATTATTTATTTACAGAGGCGGATCCAGGTATCTTAAAAGGGGGAATTGAGGTCGGGTTCCATAGCCACACCAATAATGACATTATATTAAATTTTACGTATGCTGGGGTACAAAAGAGGGTCTCCCCCCTAAACCCGCCAGTGAATTGAGCAATATTAAACATTGTCCCCCTAAGAGAATATATTAAAATATTTCAACTGAATAAGACGCCATTGACTCATTTGTTATGTATACCAACACATCGACGGGTGAAGGGAGAAAACCGCCACAGTTTTTAAGACTTGTGCAGAATTGTGATGGATTAAATATTGTAATATTCCTATGTGTAAAAATTAAACATTTCTAAAAATTCTCAGTGAAATTAACTTATTTTATCTTAATGTTCAGTATGTTAACTCACTAATAAATAAATACTTAACGTGTCACACACACATGCACATAATATTAATAAATAAACTAAGATTTTTTTTTATTAGATTTCTAAAGATAGAAAAAATAGACTAAGCCCCCCTCTCTTTTCATCTATTTCAAAGGCAGAATTTCAGTTTAAATACTGACCTTCTTTCTGAGTGACTCCGTCTTCCTCTTCAGTCGGTGTAACTGGCTGCTCCACACCTTCATCTGAATCGTCTCCGATCGCTTCGGGGACTCCTCCTTCGGGGGGTCACTTCCGGTTGGATCAGGCCGGACTTCCTCTTCGTCGGGCTCAACTTTTTCCTCGGAGTCGGAGAGTTTCTCCACAAAACCACGGCAGATTTTCGTGGACTTTGTTGATATATTTCACAATATGAAGAAGAAATGGTGGTGTTGTTCCTCTCTTTACGACTCTCCATGTTTCTGGTCTGTGGACTCGTAGACATGTGTGTCATGGTCTGTCGTAAGTAATGAAGAGGGAGCTGTCGCTGTGACACGCTGAATTTTAGCATTTTACTGGCAGATTTCTCCAAACAGAAGTGACAATGTCTAAGGGTATTTATATAGACTGCTAAGAAAAATCACAAGCCTAATCTCGTATCATTGTTGTTAAAAGTTAATTGGTCGGCATGGCGTAATTAATTAATTGAAGAATAATTAACCTCTCGTGTGAAGTCCTAAATAATTAATACTGAGTACTCAACAGATTATTTGGTTAATTATTGCTCCCAAAAGCCAAGCCGACTTTAAATAATTAGAAGGCGTCGTTAAAGCCACGATTGAAGTTAATTTCGTACGTAAGAACCTTAAATCACATAGGGTGCGATTTGAAGTTGTAAAATGATAATATTCACTGTTTATGCCTTAAATATTTTACTATATCTTCTCAATAACTCAATAATAAATCTGGATTTTTTTCCTTCAAAAATCTATACATGTATCTATACATTTCTTAAAACCTGGTTATCATTATGAAACATTGCTTTCTTAATGCATTCTTTCTGATTAAAATTGTGTCAATTTTCCTCTTTTTTTTTTTTTTAAAAAACAATGACATCACAGCTGTATATGTAATTTCCTGTATTATGTCTAATGTGGTAATACATGTATTTTTACATTTAATGTTAAAGTTACATATATTTATACGACATTATTGCATTTCATTTTCATATTTATTTTATACCCCTTTCAACATTTTTAATTTACGACATGTATATTTTCCGGAATTGCAAGGTAACTTTCAGACAACTAATTGTACTAAGAAAGTACAGTTGTACAATGCATGTGGAAATAGCCTAAGGATAGAAAAAAAATAAACCACATTTCAAAATGCATGATCAAATAAAATGTCGGAAGTAAAAAAAAAATGAAATCAAATGCAACAATATGACTTATAAGTGAGGAAAATCTTAACCTAAAAATTTCTGTATCATTAATTGGTACACAAAAATAATTCTTGGGATAAAGCATTTTCAGGAATAAAAATAAAAACAATTTATAAATAATGAAAAAATTAAGATACATTTTGGCTAATTCGATTCTTAAAAGCAGAGTTAAGGTGAAACAATTTGATCAAATATAAACTCATGTCTTGACTGATATACTGTTTAAAATTAAAAAAAAAGAAAAAAAATTCCAAACAAATTTGAGTACCCTCTCTACACTGCACACCAAAGTGTTCTGATCCTAAGGTATTTTTCTGGAGTTAGAGTGATCTGCCCTCATATCTAAATAATAAAAAATAGAAATTTACACGATGTAACTCGTGATCAATTTGTAATCAATTCAAGTATTCTCAATATTTTGAAAGACCAAAATAAATTATCTGAACGTGTTATTTACATGTATTTTATCTATTGAAGTAATTAACAGTGATTTCTATTCATTGATACTGTGTTGTCTTTGAACATTTTTCTCGGAGGTAAATGTCACGCATCATGCATTGAAAATAAATTTAAATTAAGCTCAATATTAACTCCTTTATATAATATATTTTTCCCAATGTCCAAAAAAAAAAAAATTATAATATGTAACACTAATAAAACGGAAAAGTCACGGATAAAACTTTAAATTGCTATCATTATGCATTCTATAGACTTGAATGAGACTTGTACTACAGGAGGCATTACACCACGACGTCACAACGTGGCGTCTATAATTAATAAATATGCCTTAATGAAAAACTGAAAAGTGATTCATTTTTACGACCTCAAAAACATTCCTTAAATATTTACATTCGCTGTGTTTTTTCTACTAAGTCAAGTGACATTGATTTGAATACCATTTTCGTGTATACTCACGCGTAGAAATATATATATACGGAGAAACGTGCGCTAACGTGACGTCACAATGAGGCTAGAGCGACGTTAGAAAAATTCATAGGCGCTTGGGTCAAGGATACTGTATTTTTATAATGTATTGTCGAGGAAATTCGAACTATACTCGTAACATTTTTTTTCAGTGCACAGTGTTAGTTTTTAGTTTTTTGTCAACCTTTCTGCTTCATATACACTAAAATATCACGCAAATTCGATTTTATGCACGCTTTAAAAATGACATATCCCACTGTATACTAAGATTTTCTTTTTAGTATACAGTGGGATGTGACATTTTTAAAGAGTGCATAAAATCGAATTTTCTGTGAAGTTCTCGTGTATATGAAGCAGAAAGGTTAACACAAAACTATAAATTAATACTGTGCACTGAAAAAAAATGTTACGAGTATAGTTTGATTTCCTCGACAATACATTATATAGAAAAAATACAGTATCCTTGACCCAAGCGCCTATGGAAGAATTGCAAAGATATAGGGCAGCGATAAATTCAAACGTGGAGTATATTTTTTATGCTTTCAAACATTTAAAATGTAAATATTTAGAATGTTTTTAAGTTTTGTGTGATTCATTGGTGTGTAAATCACACAGACTTGCACGTAGGCATATTTTTCATGAAGCGCTAGCGCGCCTCATGAAATATGCCTACGTGACAAGTCTGTGTGATTTACACACCAATGAATCACACAAAACTTAAAAACATTCCTTAATAGATCTTATATAGATATATCGATTTTAAGAAATTGTCATGTAAAGTTCACGTCAATATATAGCTTACTATGACGTCATATATATATAGGCAAGTAGAATATTTGGTTGTAACCTGCGAATTATGTAAATTTGAAATTCCAATACTTTTTTGAAAATCATGTTTACAGGTTTTATACATTAACATCTATTAATTTAAAGAATAGATGCCTTTATTTTATGAGGAAAACTTTGTTGCTGCTATTTGAGTTAGGTTAGCTATAAATTAGATCGGGTTCGGGGATATCTCAAATTCCCCCTTTTTTGCCCTGAATCCTAAGAACGAAAGCTTAAGGTATACGAATTTTGTAGCAGACAAAATTTTTCAAAAAATATGCTTTCAATTACGATTGCTTCTTAAATAATTTCATAAATAGTATAGACAAATATCGGATATGATGATTAGATGCATGGATGGATCTATTCTTTTTTGAAAAATTCGCTGAGATTGGCTAGGATTGAAATTTTCTTTGTCAGCATACATGTGGCATAAGTTGTTTTAAAAGTTTGTTAACCCTTTAGTTTACGAGCAAATATATATCAGATTGAGGAATATTTTGTAATTATGCATTAAATATATTTATATATAAATTGGGCATTATCAATGAGAAATTGGGGGGGGGGGGCGGGGGTATAATACAGTAATATGATCAAAACATTATAATCAGGGTTTATCATTTTTCGAAACATTTATTCAATTGAACATTCTCAAGTGATGCAATACGTAATATCGCGAATACCAATGGTGCTCTAACTTACTACCGCTCTTTTGTGGGGGAGTCGAGAAAGTTCTAAATTTCTGGGGGCACATGACATTGTTTATAGTAGTAACAATCGAATGATTCGAACAATTTAATGAAGAAAGCATTATGTTTTGCCAGATATTGAACTCCAAATAGTAGATTGTCAAATAAGGAAAGTTTAGAATATTTAATCTGCTTTAAATTGTGACAATTTTCGATGAAAATTTAATGAGAAGAGTCGGCTTAGATAAAAAAATCGTTAAAAATGTAATACTTTAGGATTGGCTCCTCTCAAAAAATGATTAGGCTAGTTCAGCAATTGTTTAGCAAGGTATTCCGCCAGGATTTTTCACTTATCTGTCCTTATAAATTCTGCATAATATCTTGCATTGCATTCAATAGCACTTTGCCACCACCCAAAAGACATTTCCTACCTCCATCGCGAAAGAGTTCCGCTAAGTTAAGTAATCGTGATATAAAGTATTGGGGGATCTTTTAAATGCACTTTGCAATAGGAAAACAAAAATCAAACAAACTAAAGCCCCCAAAAGCAAAGTTATACCTTTTCCAGATCTGAGGATTAACAGTGAAACTTCAAATATTGTAAGGGTAATGTTCAGAATAAATCAGGCTATAAGTTATTATCATGCAATAGGAACTTAATTCATATTTGGCTTAATTTATGCCCCTGATATCATGTATATTAAACAACACAATCAACCAAGAAAAGCCAATGCTTTATTCAAACTGATGTACTCTTGAAATTAAATTCAGAGATTCTCAAGTGTGAAATATTGCCCCATGGTTCCTTTGGCAATTACATAAATTTTATCAAATTCATTGGCAATCAAAGATTCGCTCACTTACCCATTAGAGCCATGCTAATTATTTTTACTTGTGTAACGAGTCATACAATAAATTTGACAATACAATCTGACTCAAAGATATTTGCTTCTGCATTTTAGGGATGGGGATTTTGATTGATGTACCTCTTGCTCATGCATTTTGCACTTCTAAGGCTATATAACCATTAGAAATAAAGGAATTGATAATTCTATTTACCTGTGGTTTGGGTAAATAAGGGTTAAACTGGTAAATTAAGGAAAATGACAAATTAATGCTCAATGCAAGTTAAAGAACATAATCTGCTGTATGCTATAACCAGTTGCTTAAATTCGAAATTTCTTCTTTTCGCTTTGGTAAGTATTTAAAGTTATTAGCTCTAGGTGTGCTGTGACCCAGAAAAATAGTAACTGATCGTGAATCATGTAATATTAATTATTCATTTTCAACTACTGACAAGGTCAATTCAATAAGGTTTAAATAAAAAGGATATACTTTACAATTCACAAAATATAATGGAAAAAATATTCCAGCTGTTTACTTGTGTTTACCGAAAATTTTCTCTGCTTTAAGCTTTAGGCATACCTGAATTTTATGTTCATCGGTGGATTACATTGTTTTAAGCTAGTAGTTTTACTAAAATTAATTGATATTCATAAAAGCTATTCTTGATAAATTTATTTTA